CGCCCAGGCCAGCTCAAGGGGGACCCCCTCCTGTCCCTCTTGCTGTCACCCACATGTGACCCCTCGTGCTATTGCTTCCTCCCTCTTCAGTTCTGTAAATCCCATTCTTTATATAAAGTATGTAAAACACTATACCCTTAGTGAGGCCAGACTCGGGCACTGGCTTTGGCTACTGGCTCAGTTTGGACAATAAGACTTTCTCCCCTGCTTTTATTCCAGACATAGCCAATAATCATGCAAGGCCACCTCTGGAGCTCAGATCTAATTTGCAGCTCCTTCCACAGGGAGCAGTTCAGAGTGAATTAGATCCCTGGTGTCATCTTATTCTCTGATGTCCTGGGGAATGGCGGTAAGAGTGGTGATGTGTGGAGGCCACAGTGAGACAGGCAGGTGTGAGGTCTAACAGAGGGCAGACCGGCTCTAAACAACAGCGCTGGGTTTGACTGTATTTTAGCCACACACACCTCCAACCTGGGAATCCAAGACTGAGCTCAGCTGTCAACAAGGAGCCTTCATGCACACCTAACTGGATGGGAAGAAGCCTGTGGGCTAGACACATAACCCCTTAATTCAAGTTGTCACTACAATTGCTGGAGGCTTTCGGGGGAGAATAAGTTCCTGGGATAAACGGTTTTCTATTTGGGATTGCCTGCAATGAGACTTCCTACACTCTAGGCCTCGTGGGCTTTTCGCCCCTCTCCCCACAAAGTGACCTTAGATAACTTCCCCATCTTTTTTTGTTTTGTTTTTTTTTTTGAGTCAGGGTCTCGCGATGTAGCTCAGGCTGGCCTTGAACTCGCTATGTGGCCCAGGCTGGCCTCAAACTCATGGCAATGAGTTGGCCTCATTGCCAACAGCTGGCCTCTGCCTCTGCCTCCCAAATGCTGGGGTCACAGGCATGTGCCACCAGGCCCAGCTTGACCTCCCCATCTTAGCTGGGGCTCTGACAGTGCCAGTGATGGTGGTGGTGAAGGGGAATGTGCTTAAGGGGCAGTAAGGTTGGTGATGTGGTGGTGATGGAGGTGATGATGATACATAGCTCCCTGAGGGTAAGGACCTCGTTTCTAATTTGTCACTGTCACACAGCCCAGTAGCAGTGACTGGTGGGTGACACACTGTGGGCTAAATGGTATGCAGGGTGAAGAGGAACCTGGAAGCCACTCCTGGGAGCTGTAGGAAATGGGCTTTGTCGTATTCTGTATTCCATCTGCTCAAGGCCAGATTCCCAGCCATGTGGACTCCACCCATCACCTTTGGCAATGCCAGGCTCCTGATGTTGAGGATTTAGGAGGAGTTCTGGCTTCCTTCAGCCCTCATCCAGGCCTTGACTTGTGAGTAGCCAAAGGGGAAGTCTCAGCAGGCTTCAGAGTCTGCTGATGGCAGACAGCCACCTCCACTCCAGTCTTCTTCCCCCAAGGACCCTCTTAAGTATCAAAATCTCCCAGTGCCATGGTTCTGTCCCCTCATCTAGACTCTGACTGAGCAACCCACTAATTTCTCTGGGCCCCAGAACTCAGACCCAGCTTTGACTATAGGCAGAGGCGAGACTCGTGTTTTGGGGGCCATCCAGTGGTCCCTGACAGGAGCAAGGCCTGGGGAGTGACTCCCCGGTGGAGCTCAGGCTCTGAGAGGAGGGGACAGGCAGGGTCTCTGCACCACTCATGCGTCTTCCTCGGCATAGCTGGGCCTGCCAGCCCAGCCCTGCTCCCCTCACACTCCCTTTCCACTCCCCGTTCACCCCGTGCCTCCGCATCCACGCAGCCTCACACCTCTGCCTCTGCACTTTGCCCATCTGCTTCCTCTCCTGGGAATGTACTCTCAAGTTGCCCAACTCCTGTTTGTCCTTTGAACTCAGGTCCCCGGAGTGCATCTGTCGGGATCTTTCTTCACACACCCAGTGTGGGCTGGGAGAGCTTTGTGTGTCCAGGCACACGCCACGTGCAAGTGAACGTTAATCTCCATCTGTGCACTCTCACCGGGGCCTGGACAGTCTTTGGCTTCTGGCAAAGCCTCTGGCAGCAGTGCAGCTCCGAGAGAGCCTGCAGAGTTAGTTGCATAAATGGGTTGTGAGAATGACTTACTGACTGAACACTAAATAATGAATAATCCACAGCATTCTTTCATTCATTCAATCTCAATATTAAAACAAATTTTAAGTAATAAAATACCATTTTTATCTATTTAATTATTCTCTGGATTTTTTTTAGAATTAGACTTGCAGAAATAAGTGAACATTAGAGCCAAGATGTTCGTTCTGGCAATGTTTTGAAATAGTGAAAAATGGGAAAGAGTCTAATGAAAAATCAATATGGGACTGGTTAAATAGGTTATGAAACATTTATGTGGTGGAATATTACATGGCCATTAAAAACAAGGATCCTCACTGTTTCTGGTGGATAAACATTCATCAGTTGGTACATCCATACAAAAGAGTATTACTTGATAATAAAGAAGATATGACATAGGGATAAATGCTCACAATATGGAGGGTTCTCAAAAAGGAAGCTCTCACAGAAAGATCACATCATGAGTTCCTTTATACAAAACATCCCAAATAGATCTAGAGTCAGCAAGTAGATTAGTGACTACCTAGGGCTTGCAGGGGTTGGGGAAGTGGACACAACTCCTGAAAGGTGTGGAGTTTCTTTTGGAGGTGATGGAATGTTCTGAAATTGATTGCAGTGAGGTTACATGACTCTGAATATACTAAAAGCCATAGAGTTGTGCATTTAAAATTGGTGGATTGTGTGGTATGTAAATTATGTCTCAATAAAGTCACTTTAAAAAGATGGAGACATGGGCCAGGGATTTAGCTCAGTGGTTCCGCCGCCTGCCTTGCAAGCACAAGTCCCGAGTTCCCGAGTTCCATCTACCAAAAATAAATAAATAATAAAAAAAATAAAAAGATGGAAATGGGCTGGGAATTTAGCTCAGTGGTGCTGCGCCTGCCTCACAAGCACAAGGTCCTGAGTTTGAACCCCAGTACTGCAAAAAAAAAAAAAATGTAGACAAGTCCAGCCTGGGTTACATAGTGGATTCAAGCTCAACCTGAATTACATAGCAAAACCCTGTCTCCAAAAAAAATCTGTATTTTAAGACATATTGTGGGCATAAACATCACATTTCAGAGTAGTAGATATAAAATCCCCCTCCCTTTTTTATATTACTAGAGATTGAACCCAGACCTTCCCACTGAGCTGCAATCCCCAACATTTTAAATTCTGAGACAAGGTCTTGCTAAGTCACCAAGCTGCAGGCTGCATCTCCGCCTCAGCACCCCTGCCCCCGACATCCTGGGATTACAGGTATGCACTCCTAGGCCCAGCTGTACTTCTCTTTCTATTCATAAGAAATATACTATGTATAACCTGTATATGTGGACAGAGAGAGCGCGAGCTATTATTATAAACATAAAAAGGAGGTCTGTACTGGCCCACAACACACCCTCCACAGGAAGTCGGATTGTGGACAGGAGCTTTTCCTGGTTTTTATGTTTTTAGCATCTGCTACATGTATGTTCTGCTTTTGCTATTTTAAATAAGAAGGAAGGTGAAATCATGTATGTGATAACTAGGTGAAGGCTTCGCTAAGTGAACTTATTTAAAATGCAAAAGATGTGGGCTGGGGATTTAGCTCAGTGGCAGCATGCCTGCCTCGAAAGCACAAGGTCATGAGTTTGATACCCTTACCCACCCCCAAAATGCAAAAGGTGTATCACACACCTTCTCCCTTCTGACCAGCTCCCCGCCCGTGTAGCAACCACCTTCCACTTAGACCTTTGGGCACATGCTGCACACACTGCCTGGCTTAGAGACCTCCCGTCAGTGCATAGGAAGAGAGCACCACCCAACAGTGCCTGTTATGGCTTGTGTTTAGATGTCTTTCCTAAGCCTCATGCCTTTTCAGAAGTGGCTGAATCTACAGTGTGTGATAGATTCATGGTGAGGCTAGGCCCGACGGCACTAGGATTAAGGGTGTGAGTGCTGTCCACCCTAAGTAGTCTGAATAAAATGCAGAAAGACGCTGTTAAGGCCCCTCGTAGCTTTTGCTACTGTGCGGGCACCATGAACTGTTTCTCCTCTGCGATGCCCCTACGCCATGTGCCACCCTGCCTTGGAGCCAGCTGATCACGGACTGAAACCTCTACAAACTGTGAGATAAATAAACCCTTTCCGCTTTAACTTTGGGTGTGGGGTATTTTGTCTCGGGAATGAGAGAAAAGTAACTAAGACAGTGCCTCATGGTGGGGTCCCCACTATGTGGAAGACCCCGCCCCACTCTGACCACCCCCAGTAATGGACAGGCAGATTGCCTGTTATCCAAACCAATCAGGAGAGAGAGAGAGAGAGAGAGAGAGAGAGAGAGAGAGAGAGAGAGAGAGAGAGAGAGAGAGAGAGAGAGAGAGAGAGAGAGAGAGAGAGAGAGAGAGAGAGCGAGAGACAAAGAAAAAAAAGGAAAAGAAAGGTAATTCAGTGCATATTCCATATATTATGAAATACCCTGAAGGATCTACAGCGGCAGCCCATAATCAAAGACGTTAATATTTCCACTGAAAACATATAAGAAGAGGGATTAATAAAGATCAATGGTCTTGTCAAGTTTTGACCCCAAATGATCTTGTACCAATCTGACGAGGAACTTCCCCTCTTCCAGGGGAATTTTGGCTTCAGGTTTGCACTCGAGACTCTGGGCAGTGGAACAGAGAGTCCTGCGATGAGCTGTGCTCACGTGTAACTTTGCCCACAGCACATGTGAATGCACAGGACACCCGAAGCGATGAAAGTCCTTCCTTCCTCCCCCAGCGGAAGTAACGGGGCGGGGGGCGGGGCGAGTAGCAGCTTCACTGTCGGAGGACAGCAGGACAGTGTCCGTCACCTGCATGGGTCCTGAAAGGATGCTCTATTCCACGGTGTCCCTGCCCATTTGCCCTCCCCACCCCCATCCCTGGGAATGGGTTTTGCCCTGCCCCCTTCCCCAGGGAAGAAGAGTCCAGGCCAATAGAGAGAAAGGTCCACAGGCTTTTTAATGGTGTGATGGCTACTTCCCTTCCAAGATCGATCTAATCATGACAGCGGCTTGGCTTCCAGGGTGCTGGAGTGGGGGAGACAGCAAGGGGTGGGCAGAGGCCATGCAGTGACTGGGAGGGACGGGGGTTACATTCTGTTTGGCATGTAAACATTCTTCGGTGGCTTCCAAGGGGAGGGGGAGGGCGAGTCCCTGTACCCCCACCCCATGCCCACGGGGCTGGTCCCCGGAGCTGAGAAGACTGAGCAAGCCAGGCCCCTGCGAGGAGCTGGGAAGGGGAGCCCTGTGCCTGGCACCCCATTTGCACGTGATGCGGCTGGGGAGGGGAGGTACGTTCTGGGATGAGCACACCCAGAGTCTGAGCCCTTGACTGGGCAGTCATGGCGGGCAAGTGCTGGGGGAGGTGGGGGGACAGAGGTTGGGGACACTCGGGGGGCACTCAGGACCTGGAGGCTCAAGGAGAAAGAGGCTGCAGCTGGATGGGCTGAGAAATGTGGCTTTCTCTGCCCTGGGTCCCTCTTGGGAGAGGAGCAGACCCAGGCCCCAGCTGCCCCTCTGCTGGCCCTCTACCCTGTCCCCCTCACCTGGTGACATTTGACACTCAGAAGCCTGAGGTCAGCTGGGAGCCCCTCGAGGTCTGGAAACCCCAGGCCAGACTGATTTCTCGTCTCTGCCAGCCCACAGTGGGTGTAGCCCTTCTTCCCAACTCCAAAGCAGGGTGTTGCTGGTCCTTGGGCAGAGGGGAGGCTGGGGCCCTACATTCACGGTTCGGTTGGTGGCAAGGAGCAGGCCCAGGGCTGGGCCCCAGGGGTTAGGCCCTGGGCCCCACCGAGGACAAGCAAGCTGGAGCTGATTGTCATTCAGAGAAGCTCTGGGTGGGAGGCCATGGCCCCTGCTCCCCTTCTGCTGGGCCCAGAGGGCAGCACGGGGCCTGGGGCCTTGGTGGACAGGAGGGCTGGGTCCAAAGAGGTTTCCTGAGTGTTCTGGGAGCTCCTGTGTCCACGTGGGATGGACCTCAAAGGCTGTTCACTTGCTGCTCTCCCATGGGGTGGTCTGCAGAGAAGCTGCCCCCTGCAGAGAAGCATGGAAGCAGCTGCCCAGGCCTGCTGAGCCCTTGAGGGAGTTGGGTGGGCACTGCCAGGCTGCTCCTGGACTGGCTTCCTTGAGGGCATCTTTCTGGGTGTTGGTGACAGATGTGGCCAGATGGCTGGGGCATGCGGAGGCCTCTTTTCCTCTTCCCCTGGAAGCCCTGGCCTGCTCTCTGTGGCTCCAGGAGGGACACAAGAGCCAGGCCGGGGTGGCAGTCCCTTCATTAGCCAGCATGCTGCTTGGCCCAGACGTCGGCAGTCGAGGCTCAGGATAAGATAGGGTGAGCTCTGCAGGAGCTGGGACCCAGGAAGAGGCCCCAAGTCCCCAGGGCAATGGGGGGGGTCAGGCTGTAGGGGTGCTGGAGAAGGGGTGGCATGGGGTGGGGACCCATCACACAAACACTGTCTGGAATTTGAAAGGGCCTTTGTGCCTCCAGGGGCCAGTAGGCTGCTGTTCCTCCTCCTTCCACTCCCACAGCTGGGAGGACCTGCCAGAACTGAGTCCAGGACTTTCCAAAGCCAGCCCAGAATTGATAACAGCCAGCCTCTCTCTACCTGCTCAGAACCCAGGAGAGAGGGGAGTTAGCCAAAAGCAGGCCGGCAGGACTGAGGTTAGATAGCAGGAAAATTCCTGATCGTCAGGGTCCTGAGTGCTGGATCAGGGGCCAGGAAGAAAGTGGAACCTTTTTAAAGCCCCTCCCATGGGGAATCACTTGCCCAGGAAGGCAGCCCACACTCCTCCCACTGTGACCATGGAGTCCCCACCCAAATTTAGGAGCACCTGCCTGCTACCTCCCACCAGTGTGACCAGGATGGAGCTGACTTTGGGGCAGGTGGGAGCTGTCCCTTCACACCTGAGTAGGCTGGTGGCCCCGGGGTCCCACCTCCCCAACCTCAGCCTGGCAGCTGAGTGATCAAGCCTGGGTACCAAGGCTCCCAGGAGACCATGGAGAGGGCTGGAATTTGAGGCTGTTTCTCTGAAAAGGGGTTAGAGGTATCAGGAAGGGAGTGGGAAGGAGGGCAAGGTGCCATAGGAGGTGTAAGCAGAGGGCCCTGGGGGGCAGAGAGTGGCTGAGGCCTGCAGGATGTGGGGCACCCCCAGAAGTGGAGTTCTGGAGAAAACTGGCTGAGCCTTCCAGGGGGGAGAGGAACCAGGTTGGGGAGGTGCAGAGAGAGGAAGGACAGGTGACCCCTCCCACAAGGTCCTGGTGGATGCAGGCGGGTGCGCGCATGGGGCGCATAAGGCTGTGCTGGGCGCGGTTCCAGGGTGGCCGGCTGCGGGTAGGGGGCCAGGTGAGGGTGGGGGCCGCAGAGAGCTTCAGGCGTCACTATCTGCTCCCTGTCCGGCCCTCCGAGACCCCTGCCCGGCCTTTGGTTGCTGCACGCTGAGTCTGGAGTTTCCCTCTGGGTCCTTTCTTAGGGCCTCCCAGGGAGGGGGTGCCACCATCAGGCTGGGCTCGGGCCTGAAGGACACCCCGAGCTGGGGGCACCCCAGGCCGGGCCTGGTGCGAGGGGGACAGGCTTTCTTTGCGAGACAGGGACTGGCTCCGGGGGGACACGGTGGGGTGTCGCACGGTGGAGGCGGGGAGGCCAGGGCTTCGGGGCACCGGGGGCCTGGTGGTTGGGGTTCTCCCAGGGCAGGGACTGCGCCCGGGGGGCTGCCTGGGGCAGGAGTCAGCAACAGTGGCCGACCCTCGGGGCTTCTGCAGCTGGAGCCTACTTGAAGGGCAGAGAAGAAGGCAGGCAAGAGAAAAGAGGGCAGAGAAACAAAAAAGGAGAGACATTTTTAGAATCCTCCTAGAGTCCCAAAGCCCTGCACCTCCAGAAATGGCCAACAGAGGCACATGTGGGTAACCTGAGGCCTGATCCTTCAGGCTAGGACCTCTGAGGGCCATGTATACCCAGGTTGCAGCTGGAAGAGATTTCTTGGGGGGCCTTGTTTCATTTTTAAAATCCTCACAGATTTTGCATTGGAATCTATAATCTGCATGTGTGTATGTGCATGTGTGTTGAGTGTGCGTGTGCATGTGTGTTTGTGTATGCATGTGTGTGTGTTGTTTCTCCATGCTGGTGACGGTACCCAGGGCCTCCCACATGCTAGGCAAGTGCTGGATCCCTGAGCAACACCCCAGCCTGCATGGTTAGATTAATAGGAAGTAATGTGTTTCTCGTTCATTCAGAGCTCTGGGTTTATCCTTTGGCTTCAAACACCTCATGTCACCCTGGAGACTGATCCCTACTGGTCCCCATCAACCTTTCCCATCCCTGGCCTCCCTGGTGCCCCCTCCCTTGCGCCCAGTAACAGGGCTGACACTTAAATCAACAGCTGGCAGATAGCAGATGGGAGGGAGGCGAGCCAGAGGGTCCCTCCCAAACCTTCCCAGCCCTGACCCTGGGTCTGGGAGTTCCCACTTGGGGAGGCCTTCTGCAGTCACCCTCTGCCCACCCTGGGACAGGCAGGGCTTCTCACCTGCTGGTGACGGTGGTGTCAGGTGCTGGCGCTGTGCCGAGAGGTCTTCCTGGAAGCTCCTGGGTGGCGGTGGGCGTGGGCACGAGGGTGCTGATGGGACGGGGAATCCGGCTGCGAGCCATGGCTGCCCGCCCAACCTTCCTCGGCAAGGCAGCCCTGGCGGGCTCAGAGGCCGGCGTGTCCTCCTCCGAGCCTGTGCCGGAGAGTGTCTCCGAGGCCCGGCGCTGCTCCTCGCTGGAGGATGATGAGGGCCCCGAGGGCAGCCGCAGGAGCAGGTGACCCTGCCTCTTCTCCATCACCAGTCGTGCGAGGTCCTGCTGTGCCCGGGCCCTCTTGCTCCAGCGCTCTTTGGCTGAGAGCGAGCCCGAGGGCTCTGAGCCCGTGTCCTCCTCGGACAACAGCACAGGGATGCGGCTCCGGGGCCGAGGGCCTGGCCTGGGCTGGAGGCCCAGGGAGACAGTGACTGCTTTCTCAGGGCCTGGCTCCAGCAGGGATTCTGGGGCTGGCCCATCAGCAAGGGCCGGGCCACTGGGCAGTGAGTCTGTGGCCACCTCCGAGGGGGTCTCCCCGCGGGGCCTGGCCAGGGCACAGCTCTCCACCCCGGCCCCATCCAGCCCCAGCAGGGCTGCGCCATTCTCCAGGGGCACCCGGACCCTCTCCTCCGTGGCGCCCCCCTCCGAGGGCACCTCCAGACTCAACTCCTCAGGTCTGGAGGCTTGTCCTCCGGAAGACATGATGTTGAGGTGCGACTTCTCAGCAATGTGCACAAAGGTCCTCTCGACTTTGGTGAAGGGTGAGGAGGCGACTGCCATACCTCCTGCTCCTGTGGTCACTGCCCCAGCCCCCAGCCCTGCCCCGAGCCCAGTGGGCTTGGCCTCGGACTTGAGGACAGAGGACAGCGTGCCAGGCTCTGACACATCCAGCTGGCTGCCAGTGGGCTGGGGCCGCTCGTGCTGAGGAGTGAGGGCAGCCAGGGTGCCCAGGTCGGGATCAGGCGCCGATTCGGCAGTGACAGGCGACTTCTTCATGTCACCAGGGGAGGCCAGCACCAGCGTTTTGGAACCCTCCTCGGGCTCCAGGTCGCCGTCAGCCGTAGAGGCCCGGCCCCTGGACTCCTTCTGATCATCAGCCAGCAGCGTGGACGGGGCACCCTCCTGGCTCTGGTCGGTGCTCCTGTCGCTGCCTTCGCTGCTGGAGCCACTGGGTGCCCCCAGCACCTCCCCCAAAGCCACTGCTTCCTCCTCTTCCTCCTCCTCCTCTTCCTCTTCCTCCTCTTCTTCGTCCTCCTCTTCCTCCTCCTCTTCTTCTTCCTCCTCTTCTTCCTCCTCCTCCTCCCCTTCCTCTTCCTCTTCCTCCTCCTCCTCTTCCTCCTTCCCATTAGCCTGAGGCTGGACAGGAGCCGGTGGGCTCTGGGGGGTGGCGAGCAGCATGTGCGAGAAGCCCACCCTCCGGACCCTGTGCAGCAGCCGCGCGCGCTCCCGGCAATCAGAGAGATCTCTCTTGAAGTCCTGGTAGGGCAGGCTCAGAGGCACAGCTCGAGAGAGCCCGTTCACCTCGAATGGGGGCGCCACCGAGAACACCTGCAGGGGCACACACAGGGACCCGCTGAGGTCACCCCTCCCAGGCCCGAGGAGACTGCACCTCGGGCACCGCGTCCATTTCACACACTGCTGTCCTCAGCCTAGAACGGTCCCTGGTAAATCTGAAGAACGACTGAGTCCACGCTCCAGGTCCCCTGAGGTCCCAGGCCCTGACCCTAGTGGCTCTTCTATCTCCTGCCCTCTCCATGACCCTGCTCTGCCCCTCACTGTGCCCATCCTGAGCCGCAGAGCAAACCTTGGAGTTTAATCAATAGCAAATGCAAGTCAGAAGGCACTACAGCCACTGTTCAGGTCAACTTTCCCTACGCAGATATGGAAACAGCCCAGGGGGGGCAGCAGGATCCGTGTCCCCTATGAGGTAGGCTGGGCCCATGCTGGCCCACAGATGGCCTGCTCTCTCCACCCCTCTGCAGCCAGACACCTGGCTGTCCAGGGCTCCCAGGACCTGTGTTGGGCCAGGGTGAATTTAGGGCTGTCCTCTGTCACCCAACCCTCTTCCCTCCTGCCCTTGCCAAGCCCGCCAGGGAGACTGACACTCAGGTTTTCTTCCTTGAAGCTTCATGCTTCTTGGTTCTTTTTTAGACTCCTGCCACATTCTTCCTTCCAAACTAGACAGCCCTGAGCACCTTATCAGGATCTGCTGTGTCTCCATCACATTCTTGGTCCCTACGCTGCCCTCCCCTACCCAGTCCCCAAACACTGCTCAGCACACACAGTGCACTGGGGCCTCAGGCAGCGCAGACCAACCTGGCTTTGTCCCTAGTAGGGGATGGCATTGAGTGTCCACTGCATCTTAGGCTCTCTGAACAACTGAGTCTCTGTCTTCCTGAACTAGCACAACACAGCCCATCCAGACCAGAAGCCCCAGGACGTTCTGACGGCTCTAACACCACCTCACTCAGCCACAGCTCTGCTTCTCCATCTCCTTGTCCACGCCCCCAGGTCCACAGTACAACCTTGTCTTGCCTGGGGTCCCCAGCTTCCAGCCCGCTTTCTCTGTCCTTACCGCTGCCCTGGTAATGGTCCTGAAGCCCAGATTTGACTCCAGGTCCCTGGGGTCCTTAGCAGTTTAGGTAGCTCCCATCCCATGAGCAGCCCCTACTGCCGTGGCTCTCCTTCTGCTCAGTCTCTCTCTCTCTCTCTCTCTCTCTCTCTCTCTCTCTCTCTCTCTCTTTTTGTACCAGGGATTAAACTCAGGACCTTGCACTTTCGAGGCAGGCGATGGAACCACTGAACTAAATCCCCAGCCCTGTTCCAATCTCTCTTATTGGAGCACCCATGGGTCCCCTATCCTGGGTCCCAGCCGTTCTGGAATGCATTCTGCATTCTGCATTTCTCCCCTGCCTGGGGGTCCCTACCACCCTCTCTGCTCGCTGATAAGTTCCTATTCTTCCTCCAACAGCTCGTCTCTGGCAAAGCCTTTCTGTCTACCCCTCAAACCGACTTTGTGCCTTTCTCCTTTCCACTTGTATTCCTGGATTCTGGTTCTTGCTTCCATAGTCAGGCCCCCTGGATGGTTTTTCTAATCATTAATTAATTGATTCATTCACTCATGCATTCAAGTAGCCCTTGAACATCTGCTGTCCCATGCTATGGACCCGGATTCTGGGGGCCAGTGTTGAACAAGACAGATACAGCTTTTCTTTAGGGAGCCTGTCATCCCCTTACCCAGGGAAGAACGGGAAAGGCATGCTCCCATGGGCCATGACCCTAACTGAGGGCACACAGGCAAAGGGCCTGCAGAGAGCTCCCTCCAACCCTCCACCTGCTACCCTGCTCTGCTCACCCTGGATTAAGGATCACTGTCCCCTCCCTACCTCGGAAAGCCAGAACCACATCTATGAGGGCCAGGCTGGGAAAAGGGTCCACAGCTGCTGGCTGGGACTTCAGGTAGCAGCACAGAGCCCAGTGGAGGTTAAGGTGGGGATTTCCAAGGCTGAGCACCTGCTGAGGCTGTGACTTGTCCCTGCCAAGCTGCCACCATCTTCCCCATCATCCGCCTCTGTAAGAACTTGATGGGGGTGCAAGACAGCACCCCACACAGCCAGATAAGCGCAGTCCCAGCCATGTGTGGGCTGCAAGGCCCAACAAATTTATCTTTCCACACCATTCATTTGTTCTCATTCATCCGTTGATTCATTCAGCAAACACTAACGACTGACTCTTGCCAGGCCACCTTTGCCAAGTGCAGGTACCAACACCAAGGCCAGAGCAAGCGGCAGGGGCAGAGGCAGCTGTTGTGAGCTCTGGGGTGAGTGGGGACTGGGGGAGGTGGCGGGACTGAGGGCCAGGACCAGGCAGACACAGCTCTCTGATCACATTTTTCTCCTGCCCCGCCCAGCAAGCAAGTCCTCTGACACCCCAGGTCACCTTTGTCTCAGACACCTAGGACATTTCTGTTAGACGCACCCTTTCCCCTGCTCTCAGGCCAGGCCCTGGTCTTTCTGGAAAGTTCTCACCCAGAGGAAGGGGACCCTTGTCCCGCCTCCATGGTGCCCACATTGGCTGAGCACAGGGGGAACTTGCCTTCACCTCAGCTCCTCCTTGTCAGGAGAAATGAGAGCTGGAGTTTTCGTCAGTCCTAAAATCACACGGGGACACTGAGAACTGGAGGTACGCACTGACCCTGGCTTCTGCGAAAATCAGGGAGTGTGACGACCTGGTCAGCTCAGGACCTGGAACTCACTCTAGCCCCAAGTCCCAGGGTGAAGAGGGTCGGGAAGGCTTCATTCCCCTCCTCTCCCCCAACTCAGCAATGCCTCACTGCCCAGTCTGAAAGGAGAGACGATGTGAACCAAGAACCCTCCTCAGCCACCACTGCCACCTCCCCAGCGTCCTCCCCGCCCATCTCTGGCACACCGGAGCCCCCCTTGCATTCCACCTGCCAGCTGGCCCCGAGGGCCCCCTGGTCAGGGAAGAGGAGAGGGGAACGTGGCTGCCTGTGTGCTGTGGGTCTACACAGATGCCACACTTGACCTTCAGATCGAGGTCTCAACCCATTCTGGCTGTTCCAGTGTGCATGCGTGCGTGCGTGCGTGTGTGCACGCACGCTTGCGCGTGCATGTGTGATAGTTACAAAATACAGCTGGCCCTTCTGTCCCCACGACTGCTTTGAGCCAGAGGGGATGGCAGGTGCCTTCTTTTGCAGTACCCTGAGGATGGGGTGGGCGACACAGAGGGATAGCCTCTCTGCAGTCCATAAGTCTCTGCAACCCTGAGTGTCTCAGCCCTTCCACCGACTTGGTGCTCCTTCTACCCAACCCTGTCGCCACAGTCCCAGGCCCTGCAACACCTGCACAGGCAAGAGAGGGGCAGGAACAGCCGTGACCCCAGGCCTTCCACTGCACAGAGCTCTCTGCAGCCTACCTTTCCGCCTGCCTTGACAGACAGCCAGACTCCAAGAGAGCCTGGACCTCTACTTCCTACCCATCCCTCCCTGGCGTGTTGGCAATTCAGAGACCAGAGTGCGCACACCACCTCCCTGGAAAGGAACAGCAAGCAGGGGAGGTGACTCGGGTCCATCTGGAAAGGGGACCCAACCCCGGCCCCTGCCCACAGGCCACCTGGAGGAGGGGGAAAAGAAAGCAGGCAGAGGCGCAGGTTCCTGGAAGGCGTCTTTAATCAGGATTTGGTAGTACACAAGCTCTCCGGATTGTCTACAGGAACATACAGGGACTGAAAAGGCACAAGATCCCTCACACAGCGGCGCTGTCGGCAGGAGCCCTCCTTGCCCCGCAGCCGTGTGTGGTGGGTGCATGTCCGTGTCCCACCCCGTGGGGGCTGCGTGTGTGTGTGTTGGTTTCAAGTGTTGGATTTTTGTACAGTACTCGCATCTAGGGGTGGGGGCTCAGTGCATGCTTTTCTACCTGTCCGGGCCCCCCAACGCTGTTATGTATGCTAAGGAGGACGCACCCCGGAGAGAAAGAGGAGGGGAAAACCAAAAATCAGCGTCCTGTCTTCGTGTATCGAGTTTCTTATGCATGCTCGGGCTGGCCAGGGCAGGGTAGTGCAAGCGTATAATACAGTTATTGCAGTACAAAACGGGTCACCCGGGAAAGGACTTAGGATGGGCAGGGGGGGCTCGGGAATAAACCAGCTGGACCCAGGACCCTGGGAGCAGAGGTCCCCTCGCCGCCCCCTTCCCTTTTTGCTCCTCCCCACCCAGGGGCAGGAGAGGACACCCCAGTCCCTGGGGGGAAGGAGCCCAGCCCCCCTCCTCATCCAACATTGTCACCCTAGGGCCCGCCCCCACCCCCCCAAGCCCCTCCAAATGGTGAGGGGATTACAGAGCAAGTGCAAAGGAAGCAGATGTTGGTCCCTGAGTTTTATTTTGGGGGTGGGTATAGGAGAAGCGCTGGAAGTGGGGATACGTTTAGGGTCCCCCAGGGCTTTTAGTGTTGGATAGGGTGGGGCAGGGGTCTCACACTTGGATGTGGGCAAAAAGTGTGGTGGGGGATCGGGTAGCTCTGAGAGATCTGGACTCTAAGCTCTGCTCCCCACAACTCTGGGCTCTTTGGCATCCAATTTCAAGGCCAATTTTGAGGGCGCAGCCCTGTGGACAGCGAGGTAACCAGGATGGGGTGAGGCAATGGGCCCTTGCACCCCAGTCTGCACCCCAGCCTTGGGAGCACTCAGGGGGTCCCCCAGCTCCCCAGCCCCACCTCTGTCCCTGACCCGGGGCCAGGAACCCAGCAGGCAAAAAAGCAAACAGGACCTAGCATGGGGGCGGGGGGGTGGTGGTATGGAGGGGTTAGCAGCAGGCCGCCTGGGGCAGAGCAGCCAGTTATAAGGATGGGGTACATTCATGGCCAAGGGGGTTGGGGTGAAGGTCCTGGGGGCAGGGATCTTGGAGCAGGAACAGGTGGCCTTTGGGGTAGGAATTACAGTTAGAACCCTGTGCCCTGGACACTGCAGTCAGCTGTCCCAAGTGGGCCGAGTGTGTGCAGCTGCAGAGCGTGTATGTGCCTGCATGTGCAGGG